ATGTGTGTGTGTCTGTGTGTCTGTATAAATATGAGGGAAAGGCCTCCTATCCATGTAATTATATGCAGGGCTTCATGCATACATATAATTATAATTGACCCTTGGATTTTTAAGTAGCCTACCCTCTATAGTTATTACAATATTTCATGTTTCATCCCACACTTTCATATTGCCTATAGCCCACTGATGATATACAGTGCTCTATACAACATTAATCTCAAAACGTTCTTCCTTCATTGTCAAGTTCAAATACAAACAATGCACCATGATGCCACCTATTCAAATGGCCCAGACTTCTCCATGCAACATTATCTGCGCTATTACTAATTCTCAGGAGAAGTACAACGCCTGGATCCGCGCGCTCAAGTGGGGCCATGCAGGATTACAGAGTTGCAGCACATCCCTTTCAAATTCATAAACCCGCATAGTTTTAAGATAATGACCCAAAGTCCTCATTATCAGTACAATTGGCGAGACATTACGCATTCAAGACCGTTACTACTCCAAGTTTAGGAGCGCCGCGTCGGCTGGGGCTGGGAAACGTCGCCTCTTTCTTTGGGGATGCAGATGAGTCTGGTGCACTTGACGTCTTTTCATGACCCCTGTCGGCCCCCATCCCCCCCTCCCCTCCCAGCCCCTCTAGGCCCTCACGGCGCTGTCTGTCATATTGGGCCTGGGCATGGCATTGCCACTTGCCCCACCGAGCGTGGGAATGGGATCGTCCAGTCGTTCACATCTCCTGCACTGCGGTTAACGGAATCAATTAAGCAGGCCCGACCCCCCCACCCCCCAACATCTCCCCAATCCCCTCACTCACTCACTCCCTCCCTCCTCTCCTCCTTCTTCTGCCACCTCCCTCCCTCTCCTAACCCCGTTCCCCACCTCTCTCTCTCTCCCTCTCTCTCTCTCCATTTTTGTCAGTTCAGTATACGTCCTAATTATTACTGTTTGGGATGCCAGCGCCGTTTCCTGGCCGGACTCGATCATGCTGAAATAAGAAGCATGGAGGCGCACACGTGGGTTTCTAAATGTCACTCTTTCATTCCCGTGAAAAGCTCAAGATGAGCCCATGATGAAATTTCATTCAGATTAAATAAGATTTAAAACCATAGCTCATGTTACAGGATCAAATAGGCAATAAATATTAACATGCAATATGTGGCCTGGAGAGAAGTTCAGTGTGTGTGTGGGAGAGAGAGAGAGACAGAGAGAGAGAGCGAGATTGAGTGTGTGTGTGTGTGTGTGTGTGTGTGTGTACATGTTAAAATGTGGATGACTGAGCGCGCGCACCTGTGTACAACAATAATGTACATTATGCTCCCTGAAAAGGTTATTAATTAAATTAAGGAGAGCACAAACAAAGCTATGCCTTCCTGGTGAAAATATGTACACTGTGGGTGAAAAAATGACAACATAAATCAGAATAAAATCAAAATAAAGCCAGTCAGCTGAATAACATCTACAATCTCAGGTCCACGATGGGAAAATTGAGTTACATGTCATGAGTCCTCCACAAGTCCTCGACGAGTCTGGAAGTAGTTTTTACTTTCGGTTATCTAGCTTTATGACGAGCAGAACACTCATACAGCTAGATAACCAAAGATAACAACCCACTTCCCAATCTTCAGCAATAATCCACATGTACAGTTCCTCTTCTGGTCTCCAACTTTCCATCTCTCAGAACTCAGATATATTCAGCAAAAGTCATCAGTCCTTTTTTCAAGTCACATTGTGCTTTATATTCCTTATATTCCCTTTTTGCCATTGAGGGCCACTATTGCACAGCCTGAGCTGTTATACACCCGGTGTAAAAAGGCGGCAATTCTTCGAAAAAATGATATATAATCCCAGTGTTAATGTCATATTCACTTGACATTAACCAATATTACTGAGTTGAAGGAGGCCTTGAAAATCGCGGGTAAGGTGCAGTCATCCTTGCACAGGGGCCCTAATTTGCAATGCAAATGGATTCAATCCCACAAAAGGCTCTTTCGCCTCTATTAAGTCGTTGTGGCAGTAGCAATAGATATCCTGTGAGGCCGGCGGAGAAGAAACACGGTAAAGAAGGGGGGAAATCCGGTTTCCTGTGGAAAGTGCAATAACAGCACAGGGAATTACGACGCAAATGTTTCGGATTATGAAGACAGGAGCTTGTTTTTTTCTGGCCAAAGAGTGTCAAGTTGTCCGTTCACATCCAGAATGTACTTAAGGAAAGATAAAGCCGATGACTCTGAGCCAAAGGGTCCGTTCTGCAGGCTGCATGGTCGGTCGGTCTGAAAAGAGTGGGGGGAATAAGGGCCATCCCCAAAGGATAGGGGGGCTGGGGGTGGCCAAAATATGGACCAACCCCGGTGAGGTCAAAGGCCTCGGACCACGACAATGTAACTGCGGTGATGTCATGAAAAAAAAATCGCAAATGCACCCTCCTATCCATGCTCAAGCTCCATCCATTACACAGCGCGCGTTGGAATAAGTCCGCCTTGCAACGACTAGTCTGCACGCCTTCTCTCACACAGGGATGAAAATGGATGGCAGGGAAACCATATGTTTGTTTTTTTTTCTTTTTTTTTTTCTTTTACACAGACTGAGAGCGATTCAACTGCTTTTAATGCAAGATGCGATCAGAAATAGCAGCTATTAAACAATAAAAATGCAGCAACTGAATGAGGGGAGCATCCTGGAGCTGCCTGAGCGCCAGCGTCTTCTGTCTATCCACCGTAGGCTACATTTCCTATTCGCAATAACACGCTGCTCGCTTGCCCATTGCTCTCCTTCCTATATGAAGCACCACTGTAGGTGTTAAATTGCTCTCACGTAGTCGGTTTTGCGTCGAAATCCTGACTGGCATCGCGCGCTCCTCTCTCTCTCTCTCTCTCTCTCTCTCTGTGTGTGTGTGTGTGTGTGTTTTTTTGGGTTTTTTTTTGTCATCGTCGCATCCGAAGCGTAGACTACAATGGTATTCAGGTAGGCTGGCGATGTCGCCTAACGCGAAATATAAAGCCCATGCAAGCTGCTGCACCGTGTTGGCTTCGTGTCTCAACCCCGCTCACTTTTTCCACAGAAACGTAAGTAGTTATGCGACAGCTCAGCACAAATGGGTCAATATATAGAAGATCTTTGTAACTGAGTCAACAATAACAGGCAGTGTAACATGTGATGGATCATGCGCAGGAGCATACAACTGCAGGTTAACCGAGTCAGTTTTGTGGTACGTTTGTGCACAACTTTAATTCTGCTCCGACCATAAAACACTCCCCCATTGAGGAGGAAAAAAAGTTAGCCTCTGACAGTGATTGACTTAATTCATTCGTGTCTACATGTGAGCAGAGCTTGTGTGTGTGTGTGTGTGTGTGCTGTGTGTGTGCGGTGGGGGTGTGGGGTGGGGTGTGGTGGTGGGGGGGGTGTGCCTGAGTGTACGACAGGAAAAGTGAACTATCTCAGGTGGTGACATATAAGACCGTCTTATTTATCAATGGCATCGTCAGCTTTTTTTTTTTTTTTTCAGGTGTCCCATTCACTTCCTAGAGTTTTAAATCTGGCTCTCAAGTTTACTCTTCCTTCGTCGGTGGGAGGGGCAAAGCAGAGGTGTTTTAATGAGCAAATGTGAGTCACAAGGCCTGTGCATTTCAATAAGGGATTACTATAAACATCAGTTCTTTTCTCCCCCTTAAACGCTCACAGTCGCAGCTATTGCATTCTAACACATTCCCCTCCGCAAAACATGACACAAGCTAGCTGCCTGGATTTTGTCCAAATGTGACTTGTAGGCCGACCCATGGGAAATGCTCAGAATTCAGCAATTTGCGCACGCCTATCTTTACTTCTTGTAATGCATCGCCAAATATTCACACATCCACAAACATCCTGATTCACACCCCCCCCCCCTTCCCTGATGTGGATCAGATGAATGGTAAACTATAAGGCCAGCTTGATATCGTTAAGATCAACATTATAAAGCACACTTCATTAGGAGGCTTCAGAATAGGCCTCCCACACAGAGGCCATGCTTTAATTACATCACACCATTTTTTTTAAACTTACAACCTGCTGATCCTCTTGAAAATATAATAAGCTGCGTTTCCGTGAAGGTTAATGATACAGTGCTGAGAAGCCAAAACATATCAGAAGGGCACAATTCCCTTCGCATTTATTGGAACACCGCACTCCGTGCGTAATAACGCATAAATAAACACCAGAATGAACGCTTTGTTTTCAAGACATCGTGTGACGATTTTGGTGACGTTATTCATTCGATGTAAAAGTTCACTTTTTAGTCATGTTGCAGCACAGCAGTTAAACCCATTTACTGTAGGAAAATCAACACAAAATATCCTTTTTGTGTGATTTGCAGTCCTTTTTTTTTTTTTTTTTTTTTAATTTCTCTGAAATTACCCCCCAACACCTCGCTCCCGAAAACACACTTCTCACACTGCACCTAGTTAACACAAACTCATTCAGACAGTGTCTTCGCTGGTATTGAAATGTGCCTCAAATAGGCCTAATAATAATAATAATAATAGCTAATAATAATTTCAGTCAACGCCTGTTTTAACAAGATGCTCGTTGATGCTGACGAATAAACTATTAAGTGGAGCTAATTGCAGAAGGCAGAATATTTAGTGAAACCGGCTATAAAGTGTAAAAAATTCAAGTGTCCTTTATTAAAATATATCACCAGGACTTATGCGAAATTTCAATGAAGTTACCGGCCAGTTGTAAAAGGTGCCAAAAGGGTCTAATCATTGCGCCCTGATTCCAAAGTGTGTGAAGAAACATTCACGCTCAAAAACTTCACATTTCCTTCTATATACGTGTTATCTCTCCACGAACCATCAGTCCACACCAGCTTTTAACAAAACAACACGCATATGCTACCATCCATTTGTTATCGATATCTCCACATTTAACTCTTAAGCACAGGGAGATCTTTACGCACGCCGATTGCCTCAATACGCAGCCCATTAAAGCAGGCACACACACATAAAAAAAGTTGCACTTACTTCCTAAAGGTGAGTCAAACCACTGCAATCGATCAGAAAGCGTCCCAGGCAGGAGAAGAACAAGCGGCGGTCACTCAGGTCCGTGTGCACCGTGACATGGTATATGTTCCCCCTCAAATATCCCAGCCGTATTATTTGGTGGGGGGGCCATCACTTTAAAACTGCCGCTAACACTCAGTAGCCTGCATAAGGCGTGCTACAGCTGCTCTGTGCAAAGCATGAGCATATCCCAGGCACATGATAGACGAAGAGAAGGAGAAGGAGGGAGGGGACGGGGAGAGGGAGAGAGATGCAGGGAGAGAGACAACTTTCCCATAACGTCTAAGCACCAAATAGAAAAGTGCATGCACAGGTTGAGCTCTCAGTGTGCAAGTTTTCTTACCACCCCCTTCGTTTGGTGGTTGGGGTGGATGAGGAGGGAGGGGGTGAATGATGATGGATTGATGTTGAGGGAGGAGGTAGGAGGCGGGAGGGGTGCATGGGTGGGAGCGGGGTAGGAGGGGATGTAAAGTCCATCCTTCTGTGTGAGGAGAGGACGTGCTCTGAAATTCAAACAAGTTCCCTCGGTTCTTTTGTTGCACGCACGAACTGAAGCAGCATTGTTCGCGGTTTGGCTTGGACCTCTGCCTCCTTTTTTTTTTTTTTCCCCCCCTGACCAGGTTACGAAGTGAGCCTCGCAGTTGGGTGGTAATGAATTTGCTGCAGGCGCTTCGCTAACACGTTTTGACAAACGGAACGCATTTACCGGTTTCCAGACAGAGGGGGAAATGATTTGCTACATGCAATTCCCAAACTAAGTCCAGAATGAGGTCAATGATAAAAAAAAATCAAGAAAAGAAAACACATACACACACACACACACACACACACACACACACACACACACACACACACAGCACGTTAAACTTCACTCAAAATGTTTTGGATTGGATCTGTGTGTACAGTATAGGCCTATAGATTTATGAATTCACCTTGCTCCCAGTATAGCCTAATAAGAGGTAATCTTATAAGACTCGTGCCCCCTCCCAAACTGGACGCGCGCGCGCGCGCGCACACACACACACACACACACACACACACACACACACACACAACAGCCTATGAGAGAGAGAAGGAGAGAGAAGGGAAAAGAAAGATGAGAGGAAATTTTCACACAAAAAAAGTTGAGGTGACCTACTTGTCAGTAGCCTAAAAGTAGCCTGTGTCTTAAGCTAATTCTGTTGGTGATGACATACTTTTTTTTTCGTGAATATGTTACGCTGCTCGACTTTTCTTCTGCTAAAACGAGATGGAGCGCTTTACTCAGCAAGAACAACCACTTTCTCTCTGTCTTTGGCGCAGAAGCGTCAGTCTACCTGCTCTGCTGTTTCCACCGGTCACAATTTTCAGAGATTTTCTTTTTCCTCCCAATGAGTGATTTTTTCTCTCAAAAAAAAAAAAAAGACAAGAAAAGAAAAGAAAAGACAAATGTCACAAAATCACCACGTGACTTCAAAGACAGCAAACGCAACCTCTCTCACATTACCACCACCCCTCCACCACCCCTCCACCCCCTCTTGCCTAATTGCAGGCGTATCCATTACATTCAACCGGATTCACGTTTTAGTTTAACAGCGAGGGCACGTTCAATGACGTAGACAAGCATATCAGCTACGTGCAGCCATATTTAAATACATCAAGGCAATTAGCGCATCAAAATATGCAAATCCCGCTTACTACATAGTCCTCCCGGCCGCAGTCGGAGTAATTTTCCCCCCAGCCAGTTCTTGGGTGTTTGATTGCCGTTTTGAACGCCGACATAGCCTTTGTTTGTTTGTTTGTTGTTGTTTTTTTCCTCCTCCAAGAGGCTTCGTTAACGTGAACGGGACAGAAGGGGAGACATGAAGAGATGGGGAACCGTGGCTCCTGCGTGGAAAACCGCCCATGCGTAATGAGACGACCCGCTCCGCCATTCTCAATTCTCCGACGCCGTTGGCTCTGGTGTGCGTATTATTTTTAATATTGATGCATATTCAGTGGACAGATTTGCATTACACACTTCTCGCTTATAGTGTTTATTTCGACGTTATGTTTTGCATGACTTTGCGTCTAGATAGACGCGAAGCCCTTGTTCAGTCTGTTGTAGCGATGACATTTATTACCTAAAATTTCACCCTCCATATTCAAATCGTAGTCTAATATGATACTGACTACAGTATCGGCATAATCATTAGGATTTCCTTCAATCTGAATGATGTCAATCGTCGATAGCCTTTGAATACTCATATACAGCATGCATGAACAAAGAGCTCTGTGGTTGGGCAAACAATAGAGGAGATTCAGAGGTAACACTGAGGAGGTGACACTTTGAGATCGAGGCGTATGGTTCATAACAACACAATGACACGGTCTGTGCGAAAACTAATAACCAAAAAAAAAAAGAAAAAAAAAAAAAGAAAGAAAAGTCTCCTGCCCAGTTTGTAAGAAATCCAGTGACGCAGCGCTGACATTTAGGCAACAATTGCTCCGGCTGTCTCTTCGATGTCCGTGCACGCGCGCAGTGGTGCCAGGGACGAGCGCGCGCCTGCAAGTACAGTGCGCCTATAGAGAAATATCTATCTCTGATATTGCATGATATAAAATGGAAGACAGGCATTTCCATTTGAGCATCTCTACTACATTTTATCTCCTTTTTTTTGTACAAGACTGCACTTGCCGCATCTTTGTGATATCGTCTGTCCTAAATCAAGCCTTTCAACTTACCTCCAATAAACACAATCCAAATCATGCTGCTGCTCTTACTCGGCTGGTTTGGTTAAGTGCGACCACTCCATGAAGTTGGTGGGACGTTTTTTTTTTTCCAGGAGGGGCAAACTTTCTGCCAGCAGCCAAAGCAGTTGCAGTCCCCACAGGCTACTCCCTTCGTCATTGAACCTTGCTCTTAAACTGCTCGTGGCTCAACACCAGTGGTCAGGCTGGCTCACGTAAAGATATTCAAAGCCACAGGAGTCCGTTACCCCACCTACAGTATGCTGGGCTCCCCAAGCTAAAAAAAAAAGAAAGTCATATTTACTTATTGCTTGCTGTAAAATATTAGGATATTACCTCACATAATGTTATATCTTGCTCCCTATAGGCGCTTTAATACTCCACTGACCATCCTCATGTTGTACTGGCCACTTTTTTTCTTCCCATCTCCTAAAATATTAAGGACCCTACTGTACATATCTTCAAAAATAAAGACAGCACATCTTCTAGCGTCAGGGGTGTTTAGTGTTTCACATTTTTGCCATAGACAAAATCAAACAATCATTCTCCCAATAAGATCTATAGTTTTTTTGGTTTTGTTTTAAATGACTGATGATGCGAGATGAGTTTAGAAAGGGAAATATTGCGTGTTTGTTTGTTTTTTTAAGGGTGTTTTTAGATGATTAACAGAAACCAGTGTAACCTATTATTCTTTCGACTGGTGGGTGTAATCTTAACTCTAAAAAAAAAAGAAGAAAGAATCAAGATTGAGCAATTCGTTAACAACACCTCTCTCTTGGAACGGTGGACCGTCAGGCTTAGCAGGGTAAATCACAATGTCTTTACTCGCCTTTTATTTATTTATTTAAAATCTCTGCATACATAAACTGTACAGGTCCAGAAGGGACAGCAGTCCGCTGCTGAGTGATCCTCATTTGAATCAAGTATAGGAGAGAAACCTTCATGGACAGCGGATTACCCTCTGTTCCTGTAGATACAATAACTTCAATTTGAATTTAATATAATGGGGTTTTGTGAATATACAGCGTCAGGCCGCGTGTTCCAGCAGAGGAAAAACAACAGTTTTACAGATTACGAAAAAAAAAAAAAAGATGAGATGGTGAGGCTGAAAACAGGAACAAACCAAATAAAACACTTTTTAATTGGGCCTTTATTGAAATTTTGAAGACATGATGTGATTTAATGAAATTATTTTACAACGAGGCGAGCAAAAATAAGTATAGGCCCTAATTCTCTTTTCAGAAGCACCGGTGAGCCAAATAATCATATATTAGAACATGTATTGTTCCAGTTTTAATCCATGCAGCAGCCGATGATGCAGCTTGTAATAGGAACAGACGAGTCTTGACTGACACTGGTATTTTGAAACTGGTGTAATGAAACAAAGAACCAGCCAAGCTAGTTTTCAGTTGCATACCTTCACTTATAAAGAGGTGCGAGATGCCTCCTGCACTGTGCACGAATGAAACATTTTCTCCCTTTCAGTTTACATGACAAAAAACAATACTGTAAGAATCCACAATAGCTATGTGTGGTATTATTATTATTATTATGATATTATTGATGTGATGTATGATATCTATGTTTTTTGACTTTCATACTTCTACTATAGTAATAATTTTAAAACGGACTCTTGAATGTTTAGATTTAAAGATGATCGTAACCTGCTTATTGCGCCTGTGGGTTCTGGATGTTTATCTTGCACTTACCCACACCTTAGAAAAAAAAAATGTTGGTGAGACACTTGGAGGAGCACATGGGCTTATTTAGGTTCTGGTCGAGCTACACGAATAGCTTTGGACACAGAGGATGAGGATGAGAATGATGAAGGTTATGGGAGAGTATCGACTAGACGACTAAATGGTGACATCTAGTGGTGATTTTGGAGAAGGTGGATGATTGGGGGGGGGGGCAGCCTCCACAATCAGTGAAGTTCATGTATACACCTCCTCGCCCCCATCGCCTCATCCAAACTTCAGCCATCCAGACTCAAATGTTTTAAAATGATAGGCACATGCGCCATTTTGAAATACAGTTAGGATAAGCAAAACTTCAATTCCCACGGGATGTTTCACTTGACTTGACGTCTACAGATGCTACAAATGTAAAAATTCAACTGGATTGGAAGCTAGACATATTAACGAAAGGCTACTCCCGTTAACGCTTATGTTTCTGAAGTGGCTTTTTATCTACTTATTTTTTGATTTACTATTAGTACATTTAAATGTGCTGTTTTGATTTTTTTATTCGAGACATTACTGTGCTTGTTCTTTCATATATAGCCTACTCACATATTTTTGACTTTACTCTTTTTTTTATTGGTCTCCTATCTTTATCTTTTTTAACAAGAGATGGATCCGATTTAAGCAACCTGTCTGCCAGTTCAATCGGTGACGTGTTTTGCGTCAGTCTGACCTTTTGAGAAACTGAGAACTGTTGCCACAATAGATTATTTCTGACTGATAATAAATGACATTGTGTCTACGGTGACTTTATGGGCTTGCTTCACCGCAGGCTACTGGAATTAACCCTTCAAATTCACAAAAAAAGGTTTCAGGCTTAATGTAATGAAGCAATAGAGAAACTTCATGGAGTGCGGCCTAATTAAAACCTGCGAAGAAGACATTTTAGAGGAATTCAAATATAACTCCCTGCAGGAATGGGATCCAGATAAAAAATACTACAACCGAAAACTCGCTGTTCACAGATTCTGTCTGACTTTTGCAGAAATCCTTGCCAATAAAAGACACATTTACAGTAATGTTATAATAAAATAGACTGCAATAAAATGCTCGATTGGAGTCTGTTGTAATTTAAGGCTCATAGTGTGAATTAGGATTTCGTTGTCTTTGTGGACGCAGTTTAAAATGATACAGGTGTGTTTTTTTTCTTTTGTAGTTACATTAGTTGTGAGATCAAATAAAACACTGTTTAAAATGTGTAACTTTATAACACAAATTTATGACATTTATTGAGTTTTTTTGTCTTATTTCTGTTTTTTAACTTTTTACAAAATAAAAACACGACTCCAACCTATAAAACTATAGCCCATATATTTATATATATTTTAGATAGAAAATCTCAAATATAAATCACAATTTAATAGTCTAAAATTAAATAGAAATGTGCTTCATCTTAGACCTACATTTACAGCAGCCTGCTGTGTTGCACTTTTTTTTTTTTATCATGATGAAATTAAAGAAGACATATGGCTGCCTGAGTTTCTACATGTGTTGCGAAACTGAAACGATGAAACACTTGAACGTGTCTTCACTTCAAGCTCGGTTTGTTTTCTCCAGAGTAAAGGTCCAACAGGAGAAAGCTTTGACTTGAAAAGCACCTTTCAGTGACACATCAACCTGATATTTCAAAATTGCAAAACTCTAACGAAAAAAAAGAAAACATCTCTTAAAAATCATAGATAATAGCCTATATAAACAGATAAGTTGCGTTAGGAACCGTGGGGAAACGAAAAAGGGCTCGGATCGAATTTCAATTATTTATATATTTATTTAATCGGACTATTTTTAGTTGTTTTAGTTTTTATCTTTATCCACAAAGCTACTCAGTCAAATGAAACGCCTGATGATATTTAGGTAAATAAAATGCCATGTAGGCCAGTAGGTATGTAGGAAGGACAGGAGAAACAAAGGCCTACATCAGAACCTCAGCTGGGGGTGTGTCTAATTTTTATAATCAGTGTTTGCTTGTTGGCGACGTATTGGGACCACACCGTCATCCCGCAATAAATGTGTAACTTCTGCTACTGATCATTGTATTTTCCAGAAGCCAGACATTCGTCATCCACTGCCACTGTAATTTAATCCACAGTTGTTGTAGTTATAACAAAGCTGTGGTCCAGTTTCTTTGCGCCAGACATTCCCACGACTGTTACAAGGAAACCAGAAAAACAGGAACGAAAATGACGGATTTTAGTGAATGAACTCTTCCTTTGTTCCTGTCTTTCTTTCTCTTCTTTTTCTTTTATTAAAGAAAGAATGGCACAGTCCTGGAGTAGGCCCATAGATCATTTGTGTGCGTGGGTGCGTGCGTGCGTGCGTGTGTGTGTGCTGGGAGTATAGTTCACATCTCTCTGATTTGTTGGAGCGGATCAATGTGTTTTGATTTTTTTTTTTCTTTTTTTTTGTGAACACGTTTTTCACTTTGACTTGAAGATCCATGTTCACTATCTGTACCATAATGTATCACAGAGAAAGATGATGCCACTGTAATTTTAAGTGAGATAAACCTTGGCTTTAAATGTCAAATAAATGCCTTTTGCATGAATATTTATGTTAAAATGTCAGATTTGTTTTAATGTAAAATGGAAAGAAGCAAATGAGAAAATGATTGTCATTATTTTAATGTCATGCAATTTATATTGTGTTGAAGTGAAGCTGCTATTGCACCATGACTTCCACTCATGATTTCATGTTTATATGTCTTCTTCTTCTTCTTTTTTTTTGAGTCTGCACAGTATGAACGTAACCACTGTGTTTAGTGGGATGCATGCAGAAACAAGTCAAACACAATGAAATCACACCAAGTCACATCAGGATAACTAAGAAAGCCAGTAACTTTACTGAAATCTCTGCAAAATACAAATAGCCTTTCCCTCCAGCAGAGGAGACTTTTATTTCATCCCCATACGTTTTCACTACATACAGCTGAATCAAGTCCCTTGAATTACAGAGATGTGGATTTAATTTAATACCATCTTAGTCTTAAGTGGCGACAAAGGCCAGCTTATGCCGCTGAAAGCCGCTCTTGTGTTCCAGAAAACATTAGTTCCAAACCTCCCCCATTTTCAGGTTTATACAAGCTACATTGAAACTACAGACTGACTTTTTAAGCATTTTAACATATTACTCTTTTTTTAGAAAAAAAAAAATCCTTTTCAGCTTTTGAATACAACTTAAATAAACCACAAACACGGTGGAGCAACAAAGAATCCCATGTGAATATTGGGACCTTCAGCAACGGTATGTTACTACACATGGCTGTACAGTTGTATGGTCTCCCCTTTGCACTGCAAGTGACTTATCAAAACATGAGCTGAGGTACTGCTTGGGTCAATTTTTGAGGTACCAACATTTAAGTCTGTTATAATAATGACAAAGTACAACTGATCAACAGATGATGAATGGCTTCCAATTTTAACAAACACAAAAAGAAAAGAAAAGAAAAAATATATAAAGACAGCTTTCTTCATGTCTTTGGTTAGAATTATTGTGAAAACTACAGCACTCTAATTAACCATAAGGACATGTTGGCATTTTTTCAATCCATGAGCAACTAGCAGTGATAATAAGTGTGTAATGTGCTTTGATCAAGTGGGCAACACACATGCTGTTCACATGATCAGCCCTGAACGATTCTGTTGATCTTAAGTCAATTTTAGCGTAAAAACTTTTCAATGCAATGCACAGGGAGACAAGTGAGCAACAAAACAGGTAAATCACTGGGTTTGGTATATTGACAGTGCAGCTCCATAACTAAAGCTACATTTGACTGAAATTGAAATGTGAAACCAATTGTACATTTCAGCAAATTCTTTTATTGTGTTGTTTCAATGCTTGCAAAAACCATAAATGAATGTGAAAATAAAAGTTGAGTTTACAACACAGAAATGCCACTGGCTTTGGTTTCTCCACACTTATGCTGCCTGAAACATCATGTATATTTTTTTTTCTCAACCTTTTTGTATTGAATTTAAAAAAAAAGAAAAAAAAAGAGAAGAACACCGTTATAGAGGCTCTGCCCCTGATTGACTACACAGACTGTATACAGTAACAACAAAGTGAACCTGCATGAAATATGCACATAGAAATATCATAACACTTAAGTGACAGCAGATACGGGAGTGGGAGGCAGAGAGATATGTGGCTAGTTTCATTGTTTAAAAAAGAGAAAATCAAAACAGCTATTTATCTAAAATAAACAATTGTGCTTCTCCCATATACCAGCATGATCAATTTGTCCTTGTGTGTCTGACGCTGAACTGTCAGTGACATGTGGTAAATGATGTGGAACCCTGTTTTGAAGAGTGGAACATGAGGAGTCACAGGACGACACAGGATCGAATTAGGTTCGGAAATGATTAGAGATAATTAATCACAATGCACTTGCAAAATTATATTTCATTACATAAATATGATTCAAAAGAAAGTTCAACATCCTGAACACAAGCTATGATTGCAGTGAAGATTTGAGTCGGAACAGAAAATCGATAATGTCCAAAACAGGTTTTATGAGAGGAACTACATTAAATTAGATAATTAAGGTTAGAATGAAATATCTGATGCATAAAAATGCATCTAGACATGGACTGAGGGTCGGTCATATCTCCTCATCAGTGTGACAATCATGTACATCATGTGTCAGCGTTTATTTCTGTCATCCCCGGTTCCAGTCTTGTGACATTTTCCACTAACAGGTTGTTTTTCAGCATTCAGGCCTGTCCTTTCCTCCATCACACAAACCCTGGCAATGCTTTCCAGCTGGTTTTTAAGGTTTGACTAAATACACCCCTGAACAGCACCGTTCAGGGCTCAAAAGAAACAAACCAGACAATATGTGCAACTGCACATAGAAACTCCACTAAGAAACCAACAAAAATCATTATTATATATATTTATATATTAGAAAGCTATACACAAGCATGTTAATTTCACAGATTTTTTTTTAAAAGATTCTTAATATTACCATTATTATATATAATTAGAAATACACGTTTAAAAACAAACCTCTACAAAGATAAAACAGTTCAGCAAAGCATTGGATCTCAGTCTCAGTTTTTCATGGCTTAGGGCCTCGAAGCCCTGTCATTTCCCCTCTGGGTGAACTATCCATCTCTTATTAGCAAAGCTATCAAAAAACACATTCTGGCTTATAGAAACTACAAAAAGCCACAAAAATGCTTTGCATTGTATTCCTTTCATATGAAAATATAAGCAAGTGTATCGTACAATTGTTTTTTATTTTTCCTTTTTTTGTTTATTAATACTGAATAGTTAATACTAGATCCAGAGTTTTTGTCGATTACACTAATGTAGCTCTCAGATCAAAGGGTGGTCCTCGCTCGGCTCCGTTGTTTAAGGGGAGCGCTAAAATCATCAAAGGTTCCACACGTCTAGCATCAGATTTGCCTGTTTACCTGTACAATCCTTCAAATGTTGCATAATAGCTTTTTCTTTAGTGAGTAAATAAATCTTGTAATGTCTGGCAACTTTTGACCCCTGCCCTTCCCCCCTTGACCCTCTATTTACATAAATACGTTGAACCTGCAACATGACATCATCTAATGTTAACACACATTTTTGCAAGGGAGAACTGCAGAGAAGGTATATAGCAATGAAACTGACACTGTACACATGTATTGTTTGTCCAACTCAAGTGCTAAGGTGTTTTCCACTGGACACACTCACGCTCATGTTAATGTTTTTTTTTTTTTTTTCTGTCTTTTTTTGTCTCTAGTCACTGATATATCGCTGAGGCAAATTGTAAGTACGTTTTATGAAACAGAGTACCTGACTATTTTTTTTGTTTATTTGTTGATATGCATATATGTACACATACACACACGTGTAAAGATATATGCATACGTGATTCTTTTTATCCACACACAATACAATTTATGCATAGTTCCCCAACAAAAATACCCCCTGATCCCATCCCAATCAACACCCACCCTCCCAAAACCCCATTATAACACCCCACTGGTTTATATAATGTCAATATGTATAGCACGCACACACTCAGCAAAAAGAAAAAAGAAAATAAAAAAAAGGAAAAGAAATTACAAACAGATTTTTGAAAAGGGTTGTCCCTTTTTCTTTCCTTCAGCGTTAAAGAGATAAAAGGAGAGAGGCCATGGGGTTGGGTGGTGAGTGACTCGTGATATCGAGTGAGAGGAGGAAGAGGAGGGAGCTGATTTGGGGGGCATCGTAACGCTGCGTTGTCGGGGGGGGCTCAGGGCAACTCGGGGCACCGCGGGGGAGAGGACAGAGCTATCATGTCGCCCATCCTTCTGACAGGCGCACCCGTTTGATGGAGGGGCTCTCGCGATCATCCAGGGCGGGCCGGGCCAGTCCCAGAGGTGAGTGGAACTCATTCCTGTGCTCATCACGGTCGCTGCCCTCATGGGAGCTGCTACAGCTGCTCAGGCTGTCAACAGGGGAGCGTCCCGAGTCCTGGCGGGACGAGGGGTTCTGGGGAGGTGGTACCCCACCACCGTAGCCCCCCGGTGTGCTGCTGGTGCGATCTCTAGGAGGAGAAACAGGTTCGGACTTGATGTGCAGGCTTTGAGCAGAGGGCAGGGAGAGATTTGAACCCTGACATAAGTGAGAGCTAGAGCAATTTCTGTAGGAAGGAAAGGAAACGCAAGGGGTTACAGAGTTACAGAGCAAGAAACAAAGTGATTTTAAAGTCAGTCTGTCACACGCAAACATGACATGCATGCAAGCACGCATACACACACACTCGTACTCATGAAAACAGGGAGGTGTCATATTTCTGCTGGACCTTGCAAGTGAAGGTTGAAAACGGTGGAGGACTCTTAGATCTCTAAGTGTGGTGTCTCAAAAAAATAACCTCTAGTGATAATTCATGTGCTACATCATGCTTTTCACAACAGCACAACAACCTCAGATTAAGTTCAGCGCACTCACCCTAGCTGGCCGAGGGCTGAATGCTGCATGTTCTGAAGGTGTTGCTGTTGCCACCCACTCATTGAGCTGAGGTGAAGGGAGCTGCCACTGTTGAAGCCGGACAGGGAGGACAGATCTGCACTGTTCAGGGAATACTCTGTGTGCAAACACGCAGGAAAAGGAAGAGGAGGAAGTATATTATAGGGTTGTTCAAGTAAGTTCAAAGTGAAGTTGCAAAGAGAACGCATCTCTGATGAATCCTGCTTCTGTGTCCATGGATGTGACAATAGCACCCTCTGCTGTTAGACTGGTGTATAACACTTAAAATTGGGGAGGAAGTTTCAAAAGCATCACATATAATTGAAATGATTAAAATGATCATTTTTACTGATGGACAACATCAAAAACAAAACTTGAGCTGTCAGGGTTTATGGGCATTGTACAGGTATTGTGTGACCGAAAATATTTTACATTATCACAAATATATACAAGGTAATAACAAAGATTGGTCCTGTGTTAATGGAAAAATTTGAATTTAATATATAAAGAGCACAAAGTACATAGACTGTACATACCGGTACCATAAGAAGCAGAGATGGCAGATGGGTAACCACCCATGCCTTGTCCTGGTAGAGTGGGAGTTGCTACTGATACCACTGGGGTGGCCAATGACTGAGCAGACTGAGAGTTGTTTATTCTCTGGTTCTGTGACAGAGGAAAGAAAGACAGAGAGAAAAAGAGAGATGGCAGAGGCCTGAGAACATGATATCAACCCCCAGACAAAACAAACAAAAAACTGCAATAAACCAAGAAAGTTTTTTTTTTTTTTTTTTGTGATTTTCTTTCATTTCTTTCTTTCACTCAACAGATGCTGAGAGAATGAATGTGATGCCAACTTCTGGGGAAATTAATCACTTGACATGCGGCACGGCTGAACCCTGCCAACCCTATCATTTACCACCCTTTCCGAGGGCCCACTGTCGCTATAGTAACACCATCGGTCTCCACGGCAACGCAGGGTAGCGACGGCAAGGGAGAGGCACTTTACTGTGGCAGAGGGGAGGGTATGGCAGAATATAATGGAGGTTTGATGCAAAATGAAAGTGTTCTCTTCTGATGCCCTTCTTTTCTACATTCTGATTAATAAAAGCTGTGAGCTGTACGTATACGGCGCGACACTCTATATGCAGGTGTAAAGATAAAGCCAGTGAGGGGAGGAGTGGATACACAAGGGCTGTGGCAGAGAAGAGGCCAGGCTGCTTTTACTCTGACACACCACTGGATGGCACTATGTGCCCTCACAAAATGTCTTGTGAGGTGACATTGGTGGCTTCAGCACACTCAGCAACAATAAAGGGGAACGTTATTCTGGAGTCGGGACCACTTTCCTCAAACGTGCTGTATCTAGTGGTAATAATCTGAGCAACGATAGCAAAAATTGAATGCAAATTAAGAAGATAGACTCAGGTGTCTGCACTGCTCTCAGTTCTACAAGGCACATTATGCTCTCGAGAAATACCTTAACCATTTTCTGATTAGAAATCATTTCAAGTTTCAGATTCTTAAGGGCCTTTTAAGCGGTTTTGATTTCTAAATTTGAATGGCAGTCTGACTTACCAATAGCAGATCGACATCCTCAGACTGACGGCATTGAAAGGGGAGGGTAATAAATTCAAATTAGTGAGTGTGAATGGGAATAAAGGAGTGCTGGTGGATATAGGGATGGAGCTGCTGTAGGACTGAGGCAACGGAAACAGAACTAATGTGAAAAGAGGAGGCTAAGAACTATACTAACTTAACACATTTTATTGGAAAGACGGGAGAAAGAAATGTCGGGGCCTGTGGTGTAAGCGCCAACATAAGCAAACAGAAGGAACGTATCTGACAGTATATCAGACTTGGGCAAAAGGAACTTTTATAGACGGTTGTTGGTTTAAGAAGCTGCCAAGGCACATGAGAAAACAACAAAAATGTCATAGACCAAAAGTTACGCTTATCACAAACATAACCTCATCAACCCAAGTCTGATATGACGAGATGAAAGGAGCAGAGAGGACATGAAAGGAATTAAACGACAGTAAACAAACCCAAAAGACCCCCCCATAGAAAGGAAGATATACAATGGGGAAAAGGAGTGGGGGAGAGGAGGAATGATGATATGAAAAGAAGGATAAAAAGATTACTCACGATGGAGGGCATGTTGTTCTTGGCGCCAGGAGGGATGAGCACGCGTAGGTCAGGTTTGCGATTGTTCATGCCTAAGTTCATGGGTGGGGGAGACTTTGCCTGCATGTTCTTGTTCATGCCACCTGGAGAGACCAGCAGACCAGGCGAGTTGCGGTGGTTCCCATATCCATTTCCTGAGAGAGCAAAGAAAGGTTGGAGAGAAAGAGGCAGAAAGACGTTAAATATATCACTATTCTTGAATATTATTTGAACCAAAGGCACAGCCACATGTTATTAAACCTGTTTCAAAAGTTTAATGAATCTTGGAAATCCTGCCGTCCATGATGGTGTAGCCTAATTAAGAACTACAGGAATCCATTTTCACCTTCTGCTCATTTTCTGTGTTTCTGTCTCATCTCCACTTCCTGTGGTAGAAATTGTATTAGCTCACCAGTCTGAGGAGACTTGTAAATGATGCTTCATGAAAGTGGTATTCGCTGGCAGAGCAGCTACTCAAACAGACTACAGACTACCGTTTTTGCTTGTATGATCACCACTGTCTGTTTGGCAGTCGTACAATGAAGGCATCCACTTGAGAGGACCTCACCCTCCACCTCTGTCACTGTCAGTTAAGGCTGCATGTGCCCCTCAACAGCCAGTGAATCGTGTAAAAACATCTAATTACGGGTAGCAAGACCACAGAGGGATGGGACCCATCATTTGGCCATCAGAGCTAAACACATGTGCGGTTCGTCGAGACAAAGACCCTGCCTTGAGGTTGCCACCAGATCTGCATTCCCCTAAGTACAGAGGGCCAAGTGCAGCACCCATTTCTCCCTCAAAAACCGGTGGGGCGAAATCCTAGCAACATCATTAAAAAAAAACGGAGTGGAGCATTCTTGCAAGCAACACAGTCTTTGTTTCTAACCCAATCCCGCAGGCTGTTTTTCCCCTTACTTCTCCTTCCTTCTTCCAAGGGGTAGAACACAGGGCACTGTGTGGACGTTCCCACTTGAAAGACAGGCAGGAATTATACGTTAGACATAAATGAATTTCCTAATCATATACTCCAGGGGAAAATGAGTCGCAGATGTCTTCCTGGGCAATTTCCCTCGCTGATCTTTGTTTAATTTGAGAGCGAGGTTTTTGTTGTTTGGAAATGAAAAGTCTCAAAAGCTCAATTTGAACAATCTGAAGAGTAAACGACCGCTAGCGGTGACAGAAAATGAGGCCGTCTGACAGAAAACAAGAAAAACAGTGTGTGTGTGACCGCTGGTGCGTGTGTTTGCGTCTCTGCTGGCATGTGTTATGTGGAACAATGTATAAGTTGATGTTAACAGGCTTAGGTTTGTGTGTTATTGTATGTTTTGCTATATACAATTCTGCATGTGCATAATTTTTGTGTCATGCTGTAAGTGTACGTAAGCCCAATATGACTTGAGACTCCATGAGACATGCTGTATGAATGCTTATGTATGAGCCATGCATATGGATGCACGTGTGTGTTTTGTATTGGACCCTCTTAGTTCCAGTGTCAATCTCACATTAGCAAAGAGGCAGCTGCCTCTTCAGTTTTCCCGCTCTCTCATTCTCATGGCTGGTCCTTTGTGAGATTGAGTGGGTGCATGTGGAGACAGATGAATGAGACCTCACACACACATAAAACACATGCATGCAGCACACATACACACACTTTAGTAAATAACCCAGCAGGAAGTACATCAGTGTTTCTGTACAGATGAATAAAAAAAAGAGACTGCGCTATAGAGAGACATTAATACACACTTTGGTCAAGATGACACGGGTTTCATCTTGGTGACAGTTAATCAGACATCTGTGTATTGCCACCCTGTGGAGATGGCTACAGTCCAGTCAATTATGTGCTAGATGACTATGATCATGAGTGGCATAGGCCAGCTCTTAAGCACTTCAAAAGTAAAATCACGAGCTAATTAAGCTAATGAAGCAAGAACTGTGACTCGAATCTTTCTATTCTGTAGCTTGATCACCCTGATTTTAGGACAGTTGCATTCAAATAGCGGCACAATGACTTGACTACTATTATCAGCTGAAGACATGATATCCAGACTTCATTTCAACTGTCCTCATCTAATGCTACTTCGCACGGTCGAGCTGTGGCGCAGGCTGGCGTCAAACATTTAGAGGAAGTACCAAAATTAAACACAGCCCAGCCAGGAGACTGTTTTGCTGCTGTATAAAACTCACACATAGAGAACAACATCTGATCTGAGATTCAGATAAACATCTTTTTGCTATTTCTGAGGTGTTGAGGGACGGCTGAGGTCAAAGCTGAAGGATTGCAATCTGACTCTATCGGTGCCATGGTTATAGCCTAGCGCGCTTCGAGATGCATGTGTTTTACAGGCCCCCCCCCCTAAAGTGTTCATTCTCTCTCTCTCTCTCTCTCTCTCTCTCTACCTCTCTCTCTCTCCCTCTTACACACACACACAGACACACACACAAAGGAGAGGTGTGGTTAAACTCATGTACATTTTACTGTTACTGAACAAATTTCTGATGTCCTGTTGTGGTCTAACAGGCGCGCTCCATTCTATTCCCCCATACACACACACTCTTCCGTTGCGGTTTGGCCAAATGTGCATTCAACCCTGAATTCTCCAACTGAACCAAGGTGTCACACTCACGCTCACAACTTGCACAGTTGGTGTGAGGTGCTGCCAAGATTGAAACACACATTGTTTGATCTGCTGAACCTGACTGGTCGTCAGTTATTGAATGTGTGCTTTTTAACTTACGCTTCTATGTGATTTTGACCAGAGATGTCCTGAAGATGTACCTTGTATGTAACTCATCTGATGGTATAATTGGTGTGTGATCAAGGTGAGAGGTGACGGGAGTTTCTTGTTAATTCCTCGCAGTGCTTTCGGAGTTGCTGATCGTAGAGGAGATGACAGCTACATAATTGCACAAATGGAGGTGGGAGGTTTTCACAAGCTGGACTTTGACTCGTTCTGTCTGTCTCCTCACCTTGCGCTCTCTCCTAGCTAGCGAAGGAGTTGACAGATTGAAGACATACTGCATATAAATGAACGAACATACACATGCACGAAAACACTTCCCACAATATTATATATAACACGATGACTCAGCCTTTCAGTAACATGCCCTGTTTGCACTGTACTGGAATTACCTGGGGACCTTGTGTGATTCGAAATTTACCTCCACGACTGGGTTTCATGCAGCATATTTGCACAGGATAAACAAAAAGTCTGTGTTTCTGTCATATTTACAGGATAAATCTCAAGATACGATCGAAACGTACTGTGGCACGTCTTCATGCTAATGCTGTAAAGAAAGGGAACTTTCAAGTTTGTATTTTCTACACGAGTACATGATATGTTTGGAGTTCAAGTCATTAAAAAACAATGTTGCTAGGGAACTAACAACAAAAATGGACCTTGTCTGGTTCCGTTTCAAAAGTTTAGAAATGATTTTGTTCTGATTGCAACTTCATGAAATATGTCAGTTTATGAAACAACTTGTGAAGTGAGAGCTATTAGAAAATGTTCATTTACAAAGTCAGGAATGTCCACATCAGCAGGCCTTTCAAATGGACTATTCACCACCTCACAATGAACCCCATAGCATTATACAGCTACATGAGACTACAGAATTTGCACTATGAATTCTCTCCAATCTCTGTTTCCACTGTTACCTTCATCACTGTTGGCTCGGAAAAAGAAAAACAATATAGAAATCTTTTTAGAAAAGGAATTATATATACAACTGAGACAATTCAATGAGATGACAATTCACAATAAATTCAAATTATCAGAAGATCTGTTTGGGGAAATGTGCTAGGCAATCAGCGGTGGAATTATAACTTCACAGATTGAGGACATGGCAGATTCATATAGGAATCCTTCCAAACAACGGGATGACTCCAGGTAATGCTAATCCCATGGGAGTTGGGCTTTACAAGCTGTCATTTCCTCTCTTTGCAGACAGTGGAACCATGACATCTAAGACACAAAGGAGGCATTGTGTTTTTGTGCATGTCTGAAACACATACACGTACACACATTCAAAGACCCCCCCCCCCCCCCCCCCCCCCCACATTTCCCATAAGCCCCCCCCCCCCCCAGCCCAGCCCCAACATTTCACTTAGGCCACGCCACTTAAGACACTCATACACAGGCCAGACAGCTATTGTACAATCAGCTTATCAAAACATACGGTGAGGAGCAGAGGAACATTAGAACAGTCCTTGTGGTGCCACAGTGGCTGGGCCACCTCACACTGAGTCACTTAGAGGAACATCATTAAAATGGCTGACCAAGTTCACAGAACACTTCCATCTGTGTTCCCCCACTGTTTCTCCTTTTGCACACATGCTTCCACCATCAGTGGATATTCATCACTGGGGTTTCCCCCCACCACCACCACCACCTCCCCTCCCCCCCACACACACTCTTTCTCTCTCCCCCTAGATGAGATTTAAGAGAGCTTTGAATGGAATCTTTTAGCTCCCACATGACTCTCTCTCAATGTCGTGTTTTTCGCTGCTGCTGAGCGACGCACAGCGCTCACAGAGTGCCTCTGTTCCTTCGGCGCGGTGACACAAAGGCTACATTTGAATCATGCTCTGCAGCACGCCGTCGACAGAACACACGCCACAACAAACGGTCCTGTTGTGTGTGTGCGTATGTGTGTGTGTGTGATGAGTGACCAGACAGAGAAACCAAGCATTGACCCCTTGTGATGGAGCCCTAGGGGCCAGACAAGGCTGCCCAGCTGTGCCCCACTGACCCCCCCCCCATTCTCCATTTTTACACTCTGCACTGTATGTCAAGGCTGTAAAATTTAACCCTTTAAATGGGAGTCTCTTTGCCATAAACTTGGGCTTGACATGTCCTCAGGGACAAACCCATTGACACACAGAAGCTAACACATAAGATTCCTTACACATGTTCCTCAAACGTGGCTCGCTCCTCTCTCCATGGGATCATTATTGCATGGTGAGCCACTCTAAACACTGAATTAATTTGGTTGCAGACATATGATGGCAATTACTGTGTAGCAAGTTTGTCTGGCAAAACAAGTTGCTCCAAATATGAGCCACGGGTGTTGTCATTTTGAATTTACACCCAAAACCAATCCAGAAATAAAGAAATGGCTCGTCATACAGGGGAACGGAAAAAAAATGAACAGTATTTTCAAAAGTCCAGAATCTCCTCTGATTACCTGTCAGTCAATCAACCGCGCCAGTATATAGTGCAATTTTATTTCTGTCCCCCCCCCCACTTGTTCTAGCCGTTTTACAGCTGAATGCAGGCAGGATGTTTCACAGCCCCAGCACTGCGCAAACATTCCCAGATGAACTCCACGACCACTAACATCAACACATCATGGACAAAATCTCCATTTGGGTTTGGGTTACTATTAGTCATGCATTTTATGGCCCCGAGTGGGTGAGTGGGTGCCCTGTATGTGTGTGTATGTTAGCAGACAACTGTGTGTGAAAAGAGGAGGCCATTCTTACCAGCACTGGTGCCTGCGCCAGTGGTGAGGTCAGCACCCATGAGGCCACCTGAAAGATGAAAGAGAGACGAGAGCAAAAGAGAGAAAACCATTAGAAGATAGACACCCACGTTACATCCACTGTGCCTCCTGTCTCTCACCTTGCTGACCTTTCAGAAACGAACTCAATTTAATCACAATCCATTGTGTGTGTGTGTGCGTGTGTGTTTGTGTGTCAGTGCATCATATGTGCATGGATATACTGCTTCCCACTCAAACCTTAACACTCTGAGCAACTGGACACTGCGAGTGGATACATTATGCTGCCGTCCAAGAAAAATCACACATTATTATTTTTAAGCCATGTGAGGTGGAAGAGTGGGAGGGTCCAGAACGTGTGCGGTTTGGTGTGGATGCTGTGAGCGCCAAAACTCATATTTAGTTTATGCTGGCGCTTCTAGCATCCAGTTGTAATGACAGGGTAAGGGTGTGGGCAGCAGCCTTCAGACCATTGGGACAGAAAAAGGACTATGGACAACAATAACAAACCAACAGGCCTGATGTGCTTATGTCACCAGCAACTCAATGCCTATACATAGGGCCAGACGTCCCATGTGTAGAGCCTCACGCTAAATCAACGAGACTGTGGGCTGGGATTTAATATCGTATTAAATCATCAACTCACTTTGAGTAAAATACTGAGCTGGCAAAATGTGAGAATATACGTGAGGGGGGTGACTTAAGTGCCTTTTAATGAAGGTAGCTGTCATAAAATAAATTGAACATTTGATGTGTTTGTCTATTAGCACTACAGACAGATACACACAGCTGAGAAGATAGATTGGATGACAGCGTGTACATGGGTGCATGAGTGCAAGTGAGGCCCTACCTGTGTTACCTGCACTGGGGGGTCTGTGTGTAACTCCGGGAGACATGCTGTTTCTCTGTAGGCCATGGTGCGCCAGTGGCAACAGGTTGTGGTTGCCTAGGGACCCACCGGGATGGCTGTAAATGAGATTGTTCTGGTTGCTAACGGGAATGGACACGGGCATGTCGTAGTTTGATGGGGGCACGGCCTGCTGAGAAAGGGGGGGCGGGGGCAGAGAGAGAGAGAGAGACACAGACACAAGTTTGATTAAACGAAAGACACCACCAACTGCAGTGAGTAAACAAACTGAAACAAGGCCTTCGTGTAAAAGGAATGGACACAGCAAAGAGAGCAAGATACGTGACAATTCAGAAACCCTCCAGGAACACAAAGGAATTTAAAAACCTTTGACTATCTACAGTGTCTCTGCAGAAGCAATCGCACACAAAAGAAAAGACTGAGACAGCCAAGTTCAAAAGCACAAATGGACAACTAACAATAGACAACCATGCATAGTTGAGGAGAACAACTTCTTAGAACAAAGACTAAAAATATAAGACAGTATGGATGGTGAAACGGAGCACTGAACAAAAACGAAAGGGTGTGCAACTAGAAAACTCCTCTCAGAGTTACTCAAATTGCTCCCAGGATGATAAATGGGCTTGCAACACGTTGTCATTCCAACTTGATGTAGCATCTGCAGGTTACTTTAAAGGCTACTAATATCTTTGTGTGAAGGACTTAGGTTTTGCCCCTGACATGCGTGAAGGCAAAAGGTTGACCTGAGGACGTTTTTTGCTCTGATCACTGCATTTATGTCCCCTGAAATACATTCCTGGTATATTACATTAAAGAAATAAGAAGGCTGTGGTTTACTGGGAATAAAGCCAATGGCATCCCACTGTTCTAAAAGAGCTAAAGATACTTCAGTCTGTCTTCACCTCGCTAAAAAAAAGTCAGCAGTATTTCTTGCAAAAGTCGCTTCAAGACTGGAGAACTGAATACAATTAGGAATAATTTATTTTTCTGTCACATGGAGCTAATGCAAAGTGTTTTTAAGTGGTAGAATCAGATCAGTCAGCAGTCTCATCAGGAACATGAGTAGAGGTAGCTTGCCGGCCCCAGGCGTCTAGTTTGTCATGTTTATTGTGTCACTTGGCAGAGGGGCTTAACCTTGGGAGTGCCCTGGAAGTGGTTGATCCTGCATGTTAGCTTTAGGAAGTAGAAAATAGGGCTTTAAATTACTGCCATGTGTCTCAGAGCCATGGAGGGAGCGCATCAGAAGGATCATCAGCCTGGGTTACGTGGAAGTGGGATATGGGCCTTAGCACTATTTCGTCTTCTTCAATTTTCTCCCTTTTGCTAATGTTCCTTTTGCAGGCCAAATATTATCTCAAAGTACAAAGCCGGTTTCTTTAACCATATTTCATTATGGGCCCCTGCATGTTACACTTTTACTGCAACTTTACGCAGGAGTGGGCTAGCCAAAAGCTATGGATGCTTTCTTTTATAACCAGTGAGGGGCTGTCTCTGGTTCTGTTTTATTTTTTGAAGCCTTTGAATAATTTCTTCCATCATTCTTCCATTCCTTGTTGGAGTTTTTATACCTCATGACTTCTCTGTGCCGTGTTTTTCTCAGAGTGGTGGAGCTGTCTGTGAGTGCACATTTGCGTGTACACACACACCCTATCGCTGGGTGTAAGGGCCCCGTCTGTAAGCTGTCCTTTAACTGGTGCCATCCTTCCTGTTTTCACTCATCTTCCTCCTCCGCCTCTCCCCACAGTCCCCTCAACAGTCCCCTGCAATCCAGAGGCTCAGTGCTTGGCAGCCACCCTGACCACACACCGAACTGCCACTTGTTTGGTGGTGCAGAGTGCCCCCCCCCCACAACCCCAACCCAGCCACTGCCCCCCCCCCCCCTCCCCCATCCCGCACCCAGCTCCAATCCCAAACCCACCCCACCACACCACCCCAGCTCACCAACCCCTGCCTTGCCTTCTAACCACATCTCCCCTTGCTCCATGCGGCTTAGACACTACTGTTCTTCTCTGAATTATCTACTGTGGAATCATGCCTTTCTCTGTGAGGCCAGAGCGATAACCATTCCAGTATGGTCTTCTCTGAATGAAGGGCATTCTGGCCGCTGGCTATAGCTTTGATTCTTCAGTAAAATTAACACTGTATAATACAAATGCAGCAGCTGACATGTCTTGACATATCTACATGCACTAACAAAGACGTTTTTAAAGATGCTGTTGGCCTACTGGAAATTTCGCCTTCAGTTATTTCAGAAAGGAGGAGCGATAATTGAATTTGGTGAGGCACGGAGATATGCTTGAGAGTTTGTGAATGTCTGATGTTTCATAGCCACAGTGTCTGTCCTTGTTGTTGCGGGTGACTGAGCGCTGTGTTTTGGTGCAGGAAAAGGAAAAGCACATGCAGACCACACCTCCCCTGGGAGCCAGGCAAGGCATTATGGGTAACGGGTTCAAGGTGGGAACCCAGTTAGGTTAAAATTTGTCATGAGAGAAAGTGTGCAATTACTATAGCAAAAAATGTCTGCTTGTTATGTCAAATTAGAGGATCGCTCCTCAACTGTAATCAGGAAAAATCTAAGAACTGTCATTTTTTTCATTGTAAGTATACAGTATAATCTCACTGTAGTCTTACTCTCACTCTCACTTTGTGTATTTAGTCTAGTGGCAAACAACGGTGGTTAGCCGGGTTAGCTCAACAGTTACTGGCCAGTCAGCATTTTGTTAGCCTGCTGAGGATGCGGCGTAGCGTCAACCCAGTACTTACAGGTATCTTATGAGTTTTAATCATGTGATCAAACTCCTCGTTTATCTGTTTGTATTTCTCCTCAGTGCGTGGGGTGAGGATGAGAGCAGACTCGAGCTCCGGGCTCTCGCCGCCTTTGTTCTCCTTCTTGCTTAATGCCTGCCAGGTCCCACAACCACACGGAGACAGACAAAGGGAGACACAGATGAAGGGACGGAGAGATGGGTGGTAGGAACACACGACGAACACAAGGACACAAGGACGAAGCAACAGAAAGCACAGGGGGAGGGAAATGGGGAAAGAGAGGAAAGAAAGGTGAGAGGAAGGCTCGGGGTTCAATGAAAGGTACTTACACACAGTCTCTGTCTGCTGATCATCAGATCAATGTCCTCGTTTATTTTCCTGTACTTGTCCTCGGACTCGGGGCTGTGGCCGACCGAGTCGTCTGCGTCGGGGTCTGGGCTGTCACAGCCATTTAGGCCCTTCTTTCTCAATGTCTGCAAACAGAGCAGTTGCACAAAATAGTTGAAGGGCTTTGGGGTAGGGAACAATGACCCAGGTGAACAACTTTGGAGGGACAAATGGTAATGAACTCCGAGGAGGTACCTTTTAGAATCGATCCTGACCAAAGACAAGTCCAATTAGAGGAAGTTTGGAAAACTTTTTAGACATTTCTTTAACAGAAGTACATGTCAATTTATCTCAAAAGAATAGATTTCCAGAGTGCTTTTTTTTCTCTATGAGAACAGTGGGTCTGTTTCTGAAACTTTATTCTACAAAATATCTTTAACCTTTTTAATGATTCATTTTGGCAGGCTTCATTCTAACCTCCAACAACATGGGGTGACACGAGGATACACTGGCTGCTTTGTGAACAAGTGAACATGCAGCTAAACATTCAATATGACACAATGCATTCAATTGCATCCAGTAACAAGACATAACAAATGATCAAACTCTTGACCAAATGACAAATCATGGGACCTTGAAACCTCATAATTACACAGGAAAGAGAAAAGTCATAAAAGTAAAAACACATTTTATAACCATAATCATCAGTGGATTGTGAAATAGAATTAAAATACGGTGGAGGAGTTTGAGTTCATGGCTGTGGTATATAAATGTGGCAGTTTCTGTTTTGGCCACCTGATGGCCACCTGCCCCCATTAGAGTGGCCAGAAAACAGCAGACAGGCAGAAAAAGCACACTCTCCACTTGCTCACCACTCCCTTTGAGTGGAAGAGAGACACAGACAAAGAGAGAGCAAGAGGGAGAGAGAGAGAGAGCGAGAGAGAGTGTGTGTGTGTGTGTGTGTGTGTGTGTGTGTGTGAGAGAGAGAGAGAGAGAGCTGCCTCCGTCCTTCTTTAGATATTGTTGACAACCATAACAACAGGGATAAGTTTCAGAGCACATTACTGTGTGTGATAGCACGAGGGTATGTTTGCTTGAGCAAGTAGGCAAGTACCGATAGGTGCTGTGTTCATTTGCCTCGCAAAGTGAGAGACAAAGACAGAGCGGGAGAGAAGAAAAGTACAGTAGCTGACAGTTAGAGATCTCATCAAAGGTACCCCCACTCCCCCTCCCTCCTTACTCCTCTCTACACCCCTTTCACTCCCCCCCCCTTCCCTCTCTCCTTCTGGCTTTAATAAAGGGAGATTAGTCTACAGGAGGAATATCACGGGCCTGCTCCTGTCTGTGCAGTCGTCGCTTCACACTGCGCTCTCCTACTTTCATCTGAAGCTCCATATCAGACAGACGTAATTAAATTTACTTTAGCACACCCTGTATTTGATGCTGATCAAGTGTGTGTGTCTCTCGCTCTCTCCCTTCTGTATATGTTGTAGTGTGTGTAAGTGTCTTCTCGAGTGAGTGTGTGTGTGTGTGTGTGTGTGTGTGTGTGTGTGTGCGCGTGCGTGCGTGTGTATGTGTGGGAGGGGAAAGAGGGGAATGAATCTGTGTTTGTGTGTGCATGTGTGGGTGTGTGAGAGTGGGTGTTAGCGTCAAGAAGAAAAAAGAAAGAGAGACTGAGCAGGAGAAAGGAGGAAGATAGATGCTAAGATAAGTTAATCTCAGTGAACTTCTTCCTCTCATTTGTTTGTCTCCGTCAGTACTCACTCACGGAAGAGATACGAGTGCTAGCTACTCCATCACAACCAGCAGCAGAAGTGACAGGGAGCGATCTGCCTGCTTAGAAAACAAATAACAATCCAGTCATCTCTCATGTCAGCACAACAAAGGCCTGTTTTGAGTGTGGTTTTAGTGAACTTAGAGGGCTTCTTTTGTGTGTGTGATAACTGTTTGATTCCTGAGGCGTCTCGTGGCGAGGCAGCTACTGTAAGCGTGTCAACATTTGCTGGCTCTCCTCTTCTTTCTCCGAATCCTCACTTGGCCTCTAGAGTGGAAATCTGGAATTCTGAATTTGAAAGCATCTCTCACATCTTTTGACAGTCTTCAGGAAATCACACCAAACAAATCAACCACGGCGATGCAGGAGATCTGACTTCTAACAGACCTACAGTGAATCAGGCACTCTTGCTCCTTCTGAGGTGGATGAGTCAAAAGAACAAAGGGGTTGCAGAGGTTTAGCATGCTGTCTTTTTTGGCAAAGGCGTGAGATGTAAAATATCTGGTATTTCTTTTGTGTAGATTCATTCTGGCCTTGGCGATGCTTCATATTGAACTGACAAGAGCTGAACCGCTGGCCTTTTTTTTTTCACATGAGAATGCACGCAAGAAAAAAAAAAAAAAAAAAAAAAAACTTCTCCTACTCACACAGCTATCCACCACCTACCACCGCCAGCACAGATTCACTTCCATTCTGGGAAGAATAGCGGTGGGGCATTGCTGTGAGAGGCGAACGAGGGCTGGGGTAAAGGTGACACCCATATGGGGCAACTGAGCTGGTGGTCTGGCAGGGGGGTTGGGCAATGGTTGCATTTGCTTGTTGATGGGTTGCAGGGAGCCAGGGCATGAGTGTTATATGACATTGAAGCATGTGCCCTAGGCTTAGCTTTCCAGCAGGGCTCAGCACATTGAGGGTGCGGTACAAGGGCACTATGCCGCTCATCCCAGTTATGCCCACCTGTTTAAAGACATCACACCTGTTGCCAAAGGCTGACACACAACCCAGCAACCAATCAGATCTGCTGGTGTGCTGATAGAGCCATAGAAGGGCCTCTCACTCTTGCACTCTCCACCTCACCACCCCTGACCACCCTACTCTCGTCATACTATATATTTTCCCCTTCTCTAATAGCCCATTGCTTTATCTGTGCCCTGAATTTGTTATGGCTTTTACAGCTCTGCTGCATAGGGTCATCAACTGCTGCTCCAAACAAGGCTTTGAGTCTGTTATTCAGTCACATCATCACTATATAAGACACATCAAAGATGTACAGTGGGGTCCAAACAGCTGAGACCACAATGGACTTTTAGGCCCAACTGTATATTTCAAAATGACTGAGAGAATAATGATCATTGGAAAAAGAGCTGCTATCCCAATGGTGAAAGACACAGGAGTATAGGTATGAAGAGCCGGAATGAAAATAGAGTCTTTGGGGAATATACTAATAGGATCAGGATTAAACAAAAACGCTTTGGTGCTGTTCACTTGAGCCAAGGATTTATGCACAAAATAGTCACCTAAATTATCATACTTATATGAAAATTATTCAATTTTTCCAGTAACTAGGATTGTCAGCCTGATTTAAAAAAAGAAAAAGAAAAAAAATTATTTTATTCGTACAAAATGACTGCTGGCATAAAAGGAAAACTTTTCATATAGAATTATTTAAGTTCATAGTAATTATCTTGCCTCTGTTTACAAAAGTGGCATTTTTCACCATTAATTAATTAATGAGTTGTTTTGTAATTATCAGACAGTCAAGAGATTTTATATTGAAATAAAAAAAAGAAACAAACAACAAAACAACAACAAAAAAAAAAGAAAGATCAAATATGACCACGCCACGAAGTGAGACAAAAGAGACAGATTGGTGGAGAAAGTGGAAAGACACAGACAAATGCTATGAAGCTACAAACTAATAGAGTGTGAACAGTCACCGCCACAGAGCGTGAGTACAGTAAATATTAGCGAGAAGAAGGAGACGAAAAAGTATGACGACAGAAAAGACTGCAAAAAAGCTGTGTATGCTTGCTTGGCTCAGTGTCTTTCTCTGTGGCCCCTTTGGAGGCTTGCTCCTAATTAAACTCCTTCTTCATGATGCTCCCTCATGACTCGACTTGTCACAGGGCCTGTGTGAAGCAGGCACAGCATAGACACGGCGTCCTACATACTTAGACGCCCGTCTCATCAGTACCCTTCAGCTAGGCTGGCCTGGACTGGGCTATAGAGGACTACAGTGAGCAAGGCTAAGTAAGGCGACCCTGGGCTAGATGGAGATAGTCAGATGCTATCTCAATGGCTACATTGTCTATTGCTTGGAGGTAAATATTTAAGTTCTCTGATGTTTTAATTGCAGGAAAATTGCAGGAAAAAAACCTCCTTACATGTATTTCATAGTTTGGGGTGTGGGTGATCACTTCATGTAGCTGCTGAGTAAAACTGTGGAGGGTGTTTGGGTGTGAGTTTCTGGGTGGCCCCAGGGGGTCTGCTAGGGACAGCTGACGCCTGCCCAGAGCTCCTGCCATACCAGGATCCGTCTGCTCGGCATTCTGCCACCCCGCTCACCCTCTCTATCCCTCTATCCGTCTTTCTGCCCCCATATTTCTGTCTCAGTCTGGTGCTCAGTCTGTCTCTGTCTCCCTACCTCTGTCCCCTTCCCCTTATTTTCTGCAATACTAACGCGTCTCAACAGAAGCTGAGTCAAAACATTGTTGGCTTGATGGGTACATCTTTATTTCTGATAGGCTCGGGCTAGTTGATGGGTTGTGTTTGGAAAGCGCTTCATTGCTGACCATTCCCTTCTGCAGTTATCTTGGCAGTGGCTGAAGGGTATGACACATTCAATATTGTGTTTATGGCTATTGGCGACAGCCAGGCCAGTGAATGTTTCTCAGTGTCTTCAACCCAGTGGCTGACAGCATTGGTGCAAAAACCCTCTACAAAAACAACCAGTTTATAATAGGCCTTTTATATCTGCGCCAACACTGTATGGTCTTCAGAATACACTCACTATTGTAAGCAAAACCAAGACTTATGAAAGAAGATAGTATAGTGCTAAGGCACAAAGAGTTTCCCCCAATAAATTCAGCAGTTTATGGTTTTGCAGTATATTTCAGCAGTTGGTGGAAAACAAGTCGCTGACAGACAAGCACAATATAAAAGCATTAATAACTAGGCCACTTATGGTTAATCATGTTTGCTGTGTTGTTAAAATATAATAAAACGGCAGTCAAATGAACAGCTTTTTTCTAGCAGGATCTTGGCCTCTGTTTGTCACAATATTAAAAAGAGACAGAAGGATTAATTTGACTATCAAAGACACTTGTTTAAGACATGAAATGTGCAGACCTGCTTTTGCAATGTGTGAGCATT